TATATTAGCTAATTACCTCCATGAAATGTGTCATGGAGGTTATATTTTCAGTTGCGTTTATCTGTCCGTCTGTCTGTTGGTCAACAAGATAACTCAAGAAGGCCTGGATGGATTGGTTTCATACTTGGTGTGTTGGTAGGGTGTGACAAAAACTGAAAATGATGAGATTTTGGTCCCCCTAGTGGCTTCCCTTGGTACTGCAGCGCAACTTCCAGTTTTGATATCTCGCGATCTGGACATGCTAGGGTCATGAAATTTTGATGGAAGGTAGCTCTCGAGCTTGGGAAGAAGTCATATGAGTTTGGGCCCCCTAGCGGCTTGTTCTGGAACTGCAGGGCACTTTCTGGCGAAATGTTTAAAAGCCAATAAGTCCAGACAGGAACAACATATTTTCATTATTTTTGGTGTGTAGGTAGCTGAGAGAGGGATGTACATAATTAAATGCAAATTATGCAAATGAGGACTTTATTTGCATAATTAATGAGGAAATTCTATAATTACAGTGTTTTACATTATACTACTTACATACATGTAATGTATGTAACCTACGGCAGGCGGAACTTTAACAGATACTAATTATGCAAATGATGACCTAATTTGCATAATTAATGCGAAAATTCTATGATTTCATAATGGTGAATGATGAGAATGTCATACTTGGGACATCTGTAAGTTAATCAAAAGTTAACATACATCACGATGCATATATCATGTTAATGCAGAGGTCATTTGCACAATTAAAGAAGAAATTTACATTTACATATCAAGATCATATTTCATGGAGGTATGAGATCTCGGAATTCTAGTTGATTATGGGATCGTTAGAAATGTTGTAATGTAAATTACTGCCTATGTGCAGTACATGCAACGTAAATGATCACCAAATTAATTTTGTAAGATTCTGTATCAATGTACATGTGGATTAACTGTTCTTGTTGACGATAATTTCATGCTGAGATCATTGTTAGCAGAATTGTAATTGTTGGCTGCATGATAGCCAGCAGTGGATCAGCTCCATCCAGCGACTCTGAGCTCCTGGATGAATGGAGGCTATACTTCGCTGATTTGCTAAACAACGACAGTGGTCCACCGGAATCTCTCCCCCCACCTGCTGATCGAGACCTCCCCATCAGCACTGACCCACCTACACTGGAGGAGACAGTAAAGGCCATCCAGGACCTGAAGAACAATAAAGCACCAGGCCTGGATTGTGCAATAACTGCAGAAGCCCTTCAGGGTGGTGGATATGAAATGGCCAAATCCATTCACACATTCTGCACAGAGGTTTTCACCACACTAACTCCACCAGAGCAGTGGATCACGAATGTCATCATACCCTTACCAAAGAAAGGGGATCTGACCCTGATGACCAACTACAGAGGCATCAGCCTAATGTCCGTAGCAGCAAAGGTGTACAACAAGATACTCTTAATGAGAATCAGAGAACATGTTGACCCTATACTACGGAAGAACCAGGCCGGCTTTCGCCCAAGTAGAAGTTGTGCCCAACAGATTCATACTCTTCGTAGGATCATGGAGGGTTTCCTGTCCTACCAGCTCCCACTCACTGTTACATTTATCGACTTTAAAAAGGCATTTGATTGCATCAACAGAAGGGTCATGTTCTCCGTCCTTCGTCACTATGGCATACCTGAGGTTATAGTTAAAGCCATCCAAGTACTGTACTATAACTCCAAGAGTGCAGTCTTTGTTGATGGTAACATCTCCGACCCATTCCAGGTGACAACAGGGGTCCTACAAGGAGATGTGCTTGCCCCGTTTTTGTTTATAGTGCTTATAGACTACCTGTTGTTAGAATCAACCAAAGGCACAGACTCAGGCGTAGTTACACATCCTCGGCAATCCAGAAGACATCCTGCTCAAACCCTTAATGATTTGGACTTTGCCGACGACATTGCACTTCTTGAGTCAACCATACCCAGGGCGCAGGAACAGCTTACTAAAACAGCAGCTGCGGGGAAACAACTTGGGCTCATCATCAGTGTACCCAAGACAGAGTACATGACGTATAACTGCAACCCCCAACTGCCGCTAGAGGTATATGGACAGCCAATAAGACATGTTGCCAACTTCAAATATCTGGGGTCCATGATGGCCTCTAGCAGTCATGACATGGCTAAGAGGAAATCACTTGCATGGACTGCTTTTTGGAAGCTGGAGAAGATCTGGAGAAGTCCATCAATCTCCACATCCACTAAACTCAAGCTTTTCAACACCACCTGCGTGACAATACTGCTATATGGCTGTGAATCCTGGGTCATAACGGGGGACATGGAGAATAAGCTAAACGCGTTCGCCACATCATGCTATAGGGTCATGCTTAACATCAA